GCCCCGCTTAATAATATAATTAAAAAATTATTTTTATATATATAAACTAAAATTATAAATATTTATATGTAAAAATTTATATTATTTTACTTTTCTTTTATTTTTTTAAAAATTATTCATATTTATTTAAAAGAAAAAAGAAAGAAAAAAAATAGGAGCGGGGGCGGGGGCAGGGCGGGAAAACCCGAATCCCGCCGGGAGCGGAGATGGGGACCTAGATTTTATCCCCGGCGGGTATCGAGGGCGGGGCGGGGGCGATTTAAATTTGCGAGACAGGGGCGGGGAACGTAAAACCCGTCCCCGCCCCGCCCCGTTGCCATGCCTAATTGCGAGGCACACGATGTTGTCGAACGTTATGTAAGCATTACTCACCGGCAAAGGAAAGTCAACTCCAGTAAAATGGAAGGTAATATCAGGAAAATCCAAAGCGTTCAAACCCTGGTAACACAACTTGAACGGACCAAGTTCCTTATCCGGTAACTCTTAACCTAAACCCTAAACCCGAAAAAATTCTCGTCAATGAAGTCCCAGAATCAATATACATGTTGCCATTCAAAAGATCTCCGGGCGTTATCCTAATTTTGTTGACGGAAGCAGCTTCAAGGGTAGTGTAGTAAAATGGGCGAGAAGGTCTTATGATCAAAGGGATTGTGAAAACTCCTTTTCCTTTTTGTGTTGATTCGGACCCGAATATGAGTTTCCCAGAGCATTGTGACCAAAAAGGAAGTAAACAGTAGGAGAATATGCGACCAACTTAGGGGCCTACATGTCTAGTTAGTAGTTAATGAGTAAGTTGAACTTCCGAGACCAGCTATGCCAGTGGAAGTTTTGGTTTTTCGCTTTGGGATCAAAGTATTGTTGTGTCCACATCCGAATAGGCTGGTTGGAAAACTTACCAAGTTGTTCCTATCGGAACCAAAACTAATGATATCCATACCCAATTCTCCATTAGTGAAACTCCCGTCTGCATATCCAACCTTGTACCTGGGTACAAATTAATCAATCCAAAGAACATGTAAGAAGGGTACACAGTGAATGATTGTTGCATGGAATTGTGGAGTCATTATAAATGTACATTGTACACCATAGATGTCACAAGTGATTTGATTATTTAAATAGTTTAATTTTAATAATTTTTTAATGAATTATATTATTAGAAATAAAATTAGAATATATAAAATAAAAATAAAATAACTAAATAATTTAAAAACTAAAAGAATAAAATTTTATAAATATTATTTAAATAAATTATTAAAAATATAAAATATAAAATAAAATTGTAATTACAATTGTATTGTACCTTCTCAAATAATGTGGGTACCGTAGAATTTCTCTTAGTTAATTTCATATTAAATATTTATGTAACCCAGATTAGATGCTGTATTAATAGCAATACTAAAACTGTCCTTTCAAACGCATCGTTGCATAAATCAAAATTAAGCAATTAAAATTATGGAAACAAAAATCATTAATGCATGACAAAATTTTTAAAAAGAAAATTGATAATTGGGTTACGACCTATGTCCTATGCTAGCTTGCCACTTTGCCTCTATCATACGTTCCTCTGCAGTCGATTTTCCTCAACTATAATTAATTTCTTTTTAATTTCAATAAAAAAATATTTAAGTCAAGAAAAAATTGTCAACCTTTTAATTAAAAAAAAGAAAAAAAAAAAGAAGCTACTCGTAGGTAAATGCATGGCCTTATGCTTGGGCAGGTCTTGGTGTAAATGTTATGATTTAATAAGAAGGATATATATGCTACAAAAGAACTTCCAAACTCAAAACACGTACCAGCATTCCCCTGATTCTCTTGCACAGTAAGCGTTGTACATTACTCGACAAGGATGAGAGCCACAAGTTAATCTGTTGTAAGTTGAGGATTAATTCATTAGATCAGAAACGGTGTGGCTTGTTGGAAACAATATAATTGTGACAAGGTTGGCACTGTATCCAAATCACAGCACTGCCTGTGTCTACAGAAACAAGTGACTCCACTGGTGGGGTACCTATGAACATTCTCATGAGGTAGTCTCCACTACTGTTCGGAGTTATATCAGTTTCAATGTTGTCGAGGTTGTCGGACCGAGAAATTGAACGCATGGCGGAACGTAAAACTATCTCAGTGTGGTTCAGTGAAAGGTCGTAGAAGGGTGACAAAGGTGAGTCACGATGGAAAACATCAATGCTTAAACCATTTGATGGTTTAGCTTTAGAGGTAGATGCGGTTGACAATAGTGTAAGAAGTACAATGAATAAGAGTACCAACTCCATGTTGCAAAAATGTCAAAGATATAATATGGATGTGTTGAAGGGGATGCATATGTTGTAGTACTTATTGAAAGATTTAAGGCATTAGGTAAACAGTCATTTCAAAATTTACAATGAATTAATATAAATTGTCATATCATGTCATTCCTCGTGCATGGTCAGACTTTAAAGGTTGATTATGGATTTAGGTTGTTAAAATATGCCGCTAATTATATATTATTGTTGCCTGTCATGGTGAGTTGCTATGATACAAATTCCTAACATTTAAGGGTGATAGCTATCTTAATGTGCTGTATAGGCTTGTTGCATTCAACTTAGGTTATCTTCCAGGTGGTGACAAAGAGATAATAACAAGATCAGAAACAACACTACTGGCATTAGAAGCTGCAGAGAGAGTTTTAATGCCAGGAGGGCTTATCAGCATAGTGGTTTATGTGGGGCACCCTGGTGGAAGGTTATATTCTGACTCTTTAGCTTGTTTCAGTAATATATCTTTGAATTGCCAAATTTGCTAATTTTCGTTCAACGTTTGTTAATTATCTTTGACTTGTTGAAGCTTCACTGGCTTCAGTGAAGCTTTGAGCATCTCAATTAGTTCATTAAGATATATTGTAATAATTTTTCTGTTCCATATGGCCCAGCTGGGTTTCATGATTTTGTGGTCGTTATATTTTCTTGAAATTTTTTAGTTTCATATACATTTCAGTTTGAATGATACTTTTACCATAGTGAATAGTCTTATTTTTTCGGTGTTAGGGGAAACACTCTAAACAATGATGTTTTGTACAATATTTGTCTAATTTTGTTAGATACAATGAGTTTATTTGGATAAACTTCTGAAAAACAATTGTAGGAGAAGGAAGTAGGAAGGAAAAATAATTTTTTTTTCATAAATTAAAATTAGCTTCTCTATTTTTTTTAACTTATATATAAACTAATTTTAACTTATTGATAAAATAAATTTTACTTTTTTTTTTATTGGTGTTCATAGAGAAATCTATCCATTCAAACCTTATATAACAAGGAATATACTTTCTAAGCACTAATGTTTTGGCTTCTTTTCAGGGAAGAAATAGAAGCTGTTGAATCTTTTGCCGCTAGATTGTGTGTTGAGAATTGGATCTGCTGCAAGATTCAGATGTTAAACCGGCCTTTTGCTCAAATACCAATTTTCTTATACAGAAGATAATGTAAATTAAAACCTTCTCCGATAGTGGCAAGAATTAATAGTCCTTATAAAACAAGTTCTTTTTCTTTGTCAGATTTATTCAACCAAAGTGATTGACTTTATCAAAGGCTTCATCCATTTGATTTCTCCCAGTCCAGCATTATGTGGGTTGTTGAATTCATCTTAACAACATTTTTGTTTCTGAGGTTATACTGGCATCAACAAATTATCTTAGTTGTATTGCCCTTAGTCTTTTTAAGTAAGTCTTAAATTCAAATATTGTAGATTGAAAAAATTGTAGTTGAGGGGCGAGATTTTACTGTAAGTGATTTGCTGTGTTCATTAGTGATTAGTTATTGATGAAGTTGGTATTACTTCAAATCAATAACATAATTAAAAAAATATAGTATATAAATAAGCTTTCCAATTTTTGTAACTGACTTGTAATTCTAAACCTTGAGATTATTTTTGGGTTGAATTAGTCATTTTTAGTATTCTTATCACAAACTCTATTTTACTTATCCAAATAATTTAATTAGTCATGGGAAATAAAGTGGGTATAGAAATTGCTTGTTTGTGATAATTTTTGAAAAAAATATTTTAAATAAAAATGTTAAAAAGGTTTTGATATAATTATTGCCTTTGTAATTTAGCAATTTTTCTTGAATTTGAGTCCTTATAATTTTTTTTTTCTTCACTATACTCCTTACAAATTTCAACTTGTACGTTTAAATACATTTTTCTTTTGAAAATTTTGGATCAAATCCTTTTCATTTCAAATCAACCAGCCAGCTCAATGTGGTGTTTTTCAAGTGATGAGACATGAGACTGTATGTTATTAACAAGTGGCGTTTCTCATACTTAACAATTCTACGAGTCTTGGTGCATGATAGGAAGATTCTCGAAAGAACATTAAACTTTGCTAAGATGATAAAACATAATGTGTTTGATTATTAATTTAAAAGGGTCTATTAGAAAAAAATCTAAGTCTTACATTAATTAGAGATTAAGTAATTAAATAGTATATAAGTGGAAAATAATCCTTACTTTACAAGCTGGTTTTGTAGGGTTGAGTTAAGCTTAAATCTACTATTCTAAAAGAGTCTAAATAATCTTTGTGCGACTCAAAAGTATAATTAAGTGAATATATCTCGTAATTAAACTCATTATATACCACAACTCCTTCAAATTACCACTTTTTTTTTAATAATACATAATTATAAAAGGCATTGCTTATTTAGCATTTTCTTCTTTTGTTTAACTTAAACAATATGTTATAATTTTAAAAAAAATTCATTTGCATATATAAAACTTTAAATTTAGCATTTATTTGTATACTCTTAGTTACAATCATATTTATTATTAATTCAAATAATTTAACTACTTATAATGTACATAATGTAGTTACAAGATTTTGTTATATGGTTTAATTTTATTTTGAAGAAAAATGTTTTTTTAATAAAAAAATACTAAATACATTAATTTATTTTAAATTATTTCATTTTAAAATTTTAAATATTATTTTTAATAATATTTTAATAAACTCATTAAAATTAAATGACATGTTCATAAAAATTTAATGACGTATTCATAAAAATTGAATGGCATGTTCAAATTATTTCCATTTTTCATATGCCTGATTCTCATGATTCAAAGCTACTTATAAGTGAGTTGTTACATTTACTATTCTTATGCGAATATAATTGACGCAACTTATTATTTTCTAGTCATATATATATATATAAAGCCCTTTTGAAGATATTCCTTATAATATATTGGAACTAATTCAAATTAAAACTTTATAATATATTAGAAAATATTTTATGTAATTAGTATTTTCTCAAATAAAATATCATAATTTTAGATTTTTTTTATGTGCATAGAACTTAAAAAATTAGTATTTATTTGCATATTCTTTTAAATAAGAAGGGTAAGATAACATGTAGAACTTCTTAAAAATACAAAAGTCAATACCACTAAATTTATTTTATATTCAATTCAAAATATTAAAATATTAGGTTTTTGGATTTTTTTTCTTTATAAATGTTCAACTTATCTATTCATACTCAATGTGACAAATTCATATTTGCACCCGCCACACATTTTAAAGTTTGAATATATTCTGTTTAATTATACTCTTGGTCCTATAAATAGTTCAATCAGTTTTACTTTATAATCTTTATATATTGATTTCACTTTTTTTTAAGTCTTTATAGTTTGATAATTTTTTTAAATTTATTTTTATATCAATAAAATACATAAGACTAAAAGAAAATAAAATGACGTGTAATTAAAATAATTTTTTAATTAGAGATTAAAAAGTAAAATTTATGAAATTATAAGAATTTAAAAGTAATTAAAATATATATTTTTTTAGTCAAATGAACAAGTTTTAATTTTAGTTACTATAATTTTTTTTTATTCCTATAAAATGTATAAAAAAAATGAATCTAGTAAAGTAAAGAGCAATTATTAGTTTTTGTCTCTATAATTTTTTTTCTATGATTTCTATCACTCTAAAATTTATAGCTTATTTTAATATAAATAAATATTTTTTCTTTAAAGATTTATAAAAATAGCTTAAAATATCCTAGTGACATTATTATCACTAACAATTTTAAGTAATATTAATGATGATTTAACATTTTAATAAACATACAAATAGTTAAAAATGATCATATTATAATAAGTAAAATAATTTTAAATTTTAAAAAAATTAAAAAAGATCAAAGTTGAAATTTATTCAATTTAAAAGTATATATACTAAAAGTATATTTAAACTTATTTTTAATTATATATATTCTTATATCTCAGCATAATATCTATAGTCAATATTCAAAAGACCATTTCTTAAGATATTCATAATCATACATGTATAAACAATAACTATAAAAAAAAAAAAATCAAATGAGAGTCAACTACTTAGTATGGAGATAGATACCGATATTAGATATATCAGATAACCAACATTAAATTATCATAAAAATATTTTTTTGAAATTTTGTTAATGTTCAGTTTGAGTCAGTCATGAGTAACATTACTAATATTTAAGACTAAAATAAAGAATTGTTAGAGTGTTAACCTCACTGAAATTATATAATAAATATTTTTTTTAAAATTATATAATTATGTAATAATTTTTATATTATTTTACAAATAAATTAAAATTATAAATTTTAATATATTTATTTATTTTCATCTAAATATAAAGTTACATGATTTTAATCTCTTGTTATGTTTATTATTAGTACTTTTTATGTATTACATTGATAGCAACATAAGAATATTTTTCATTCCTTTAAAAATTTTTAACTTTTGTTTTAATCATTCAAAAAAAATTTGTCTTATTTTGGCCAGATTTTATATGAATAGTCATTTTGGTGTTTTATCAATATACTTTTAATATTTTGTGTTTTACAAAAATAGTTTAGGATGAACTATTGATTGAATATCGTTATATTGATAAAAAATTTAATAAACTTATTTAATATTTAAATTAATTTATTAAATCAAATATTTATTTAAATCTTTATTCAAAACATCACCGTCACCTATCTTTTTGGTCGAAAGTAGATTGTAATTTCTGTAAGAGTTTTCATCACATTTCATAATCATCCTTTAAAGATTCATGAAAAAAGAATGTTTTAGACTAATTAATTTTGTTTTGTTACAATCTTGTGTTGTGGAATTGAAATCCTTTTTACCACAGGGTTTCATATTCAAAATAAAAATAGTAAAAGTTAAAAAGATTTGAAATCCCTTGCACACAGACACCATGAAGTAGCAAATGCCAATTTGAGAGGATAATTATAGTATTACTGTGAGTCAACGGTTCGAGAAAGGGATAAAAGGCTGTCTTTCTTTCTTCGACGACAATGGAAATTAAGATTTTGATAAAGATAGTGACATGCAGAAATTATACATACCAAGGAGATGAGTGTCTGGGTGGTGATTACCTTAAAGGAAGAGAAAAAGGAAAAATAGTTTAAGAATAATAATGAAAATAAAAGATGTAGAAAAAGGATAAACATGTAAAAGTGACTATCATTTCTTTTATTTAAAAAAAACTAAAAATAAAAAATAAAAAAAAATAATTTTATGCTTCACGCAGAACCGGCAGTTCTTCACAATAGAAAACTTCCTTGTTTTGATGCTTCTAAGGACCTTGAAACCAAAGCTGTTACATTCAATAATATTAATAATATTTGATGAATGTGAAATTGAAAATGTGTTTTTTCTTCATCTTCTCTAAATAATTCAAATATCTTTTTCTTTCTTTCTCTAAATACCCCAAAATAAAATACTATAAATAAGAAATATGCCTTATATTCTTATCAAAAGATTATATATATTATATATATATATATATGTATACACTAGTATAAAATGGGTCTTTTACGTCGGTTATTTTTAAGCTTTTAGGTCAGAAAAGGCTCCGACGTTAATACGGGAGACGTAAATTTACGTCGGATATGCTTTGTCCGACGTAAAAAAGGGCAAGATTTTATGTCGGACCACACCATGTCCGATGTAAAATCTAACATTTTTTTTAATTTTTTATTTATTTTTTATATACCTAATATAAAACCTGCATATATAAACCAGGCAGTCCAGAATACAAATTCAAATTATATTTCAAAATTGAATGACAAAAAGAAAATAATATATAAATCTTAAAAAACATAAATTATGACAATGTAGATCCTATTATCCCAAAAAAGCTATAAAACATATGTTTGTCAATCCCATCAAACTAGAAACATAATATCTAACTAACTATAAACTTAGAAATCTAACTATTGCATACTTTGAAGAAAAAAAATTGTCCATTGTTCTCTTATCTTGATGATCTCATCTTCGGGCAATGGAGATGGATCTTGAAAGACTTGAAACATTAATTTAAGTGTCATTAATATGCAATGTTAATTATCGTAAAATATACTTAAATAAATTTTGATATGAATTACCTGCACCCAAGAAGAATCAGTAATACCTGCAGAAACTATGGCTCTCATCCAATA